GGTTTAGGGTTTAGGGCCGTAAACCCCAACAGTCGATTCAATCAATCCGGAAGGTCACATGTGGGAGTTCTAGCAAGTCTGCGGGGGGATGCTCATGCAGAACCCCGACTCATAGGATAATTTCATCCCCAAGTCCCGAAACCAAAAAAGCCCCAAGCTAAACCCTAAGCCTTATTAGCCCTAAGAAGGGACCCCTACGCTAGAACCCGAAAACAACTCGGATAATTCCGCTTGCAGACCCTAAACCCTGAACCCTCAACAAGAAGAGCCCGAATGCTGGCCATCCCAGGCAATGTGGAAGCCCGAATATTGACCAATACTAGTCCCCAGGGTCCTGTTTATAAGTGTTTTCTACCTTGATTTACCAAAGCCTGCGTTTTTTGGTAGGGTCCCTATAACTCCCCTACTAGGGTTCATAGAAAGAACCTGCAAAAAAAGTCAGTCGGTCATGGTAGCTTAAGGTATTTTCTCTACTATGCCCAAGAACCCTAGTTTAATCGTTAGGGCCCGCCCCACCCCTTCTAGAACCCTTTAGAAGAAGCCCCACTGTACTGAATTAGTAAGCTAAACCCTAAACCCCAAATCCCAAACCCTAAACCCTAAACCCTAAACCCCTAAACCCTTAAACCCTGAACCACAGAAAGCCCGGGAACCCGCCAGAAAGAGCCAAAAAAAAACCGGGGAAAATCCATCGTCTCATGCTGGAGGTGGAGAGGTGCTGAGATGCTGTGAATGGTCCGAAACTGGTTTTTGGATTCTCTGCGCTTTTGCTGGATTCTAGGGGCTTCGTGAGGAATATGCTTTGAAAATTATGTTGAGGAAACCGTCCGTTACATGGTTTTGGAGTCTGGGAACGGGCCGGAGAGATTCGTGGATCCGCGGTTTGGTGTATTCCCTCATGATCTACACAGGGCTGCCATCGGAGCCTTCTGTGAAAATGGTGCGCGGCTGGCATTCGTGTGCCGAAGCCCTGGATGTGTTTTCCTCGGGTTTGGCTCGGGGTCTTGTTCCCCTTCTTATCGTTGTGATACGGTTGATGATAACAATCCTGCATTACCCATAATAAGGAATATACCATAATTCCCATAGTTTAGGGTCCTTAAGGTAATGCAGGGTGTATATCATCACTAGTAGTACTGCGATGCTAGCAGGGTGGCCCTTGCTCGGAAGTTCTGAAGTGGTTGAGGTTCAGGATGTTGGGTGTGTGCAAAGCCAAGCCTCATACCTGCAAGGTGTTCGGAGTTTCATGGTTGCGTCTTTACATTTTCGTGCACGCCACATCTTCCCGCCGCCGGAAGTGCAGTGGTCTAGATATAGTTTGGGCCTGAATGCCATCCGCCTCAGTTCTCGCCAACAACTCTTAGCAAGCGCTCGACCCAACGCCTTTCTCCCAACGCTTGAACCCTCAACCCTTTTGATTGATAGGACTTTGCTTTTTTTCCAGCACGGGCATTACCCTGAACCCTAAACCCTCTTGGAGGCTTGCGGACTTTTGGACTTCGAGGGCGCTTCGGGCTGTTGCATTGAGCCTAGACGCGGCCGAAGGTTCCAAGATCCCCCCTGAGCCCTCTACACCCGAAGCCTTCTAAAGCCTAAACCCTGAAGCCCCACAGCCCCAAACCATAAACCGTGTAAGGGTTTAGGGTTTAGGGTTTTGGCTATACCTTAACCCCAAATAACCTATCTTCTTGAGGGACTCATATAAAGAATTCATAGTAAGCCCAAAAAGGTAGGTTCTTTAGGGTCCAGGTAGGGTCCGTCATAGTCGGTAAGCTCTCACCTTCAAGGCCTCCTCACCCTCCTGCGCGGAGTTTTTGGCTCAGATCCCCGAGTGCTCCATCGCCCCCGGCGTAGGTCTCCTCAGCAAGCACCAGCCACTTAGCTGGATCCTTAGGGTGGAGGGGTTTATGTCCAGGGATTCAGGGGTTTGGGGGTTTAGGGTTTTGGGTTCAATCCTTTTCTTCTATAGGGTTAAGAGTAACCCTAAGCCCTAAACCGTTATGTTTGGGGGTTGAGGGTTTAGGGACATTTTCGGGGTTCTTTTTTGGGGTTAAGAGTGCCGGCTTTGCAGGTTTGACGGCTTCTTCCGATCTGAGGTCACCAGACATGGATAGCTCGACTGAGAGCCAGGACCGCAAATAGGGTTTAGGGTTTTGGGTTTTAGGGTTTAGGGTTTAGGCTCTAGGGTTTAGGGTTTATAGGGTTTAGGGTTGCAACCCTGAAGCCCAAGGCCCTAGGCCCCAAAGCCCCAAAGCCCCAGCGCATCCTTACACTCCAAAGCCTAATCCTCGGGCCCTAAACCCTAAACCCTAAACTCCAAAGCCCTAAACTAAAACCCGAAGTCACTAAACCGTATAAGCCCTAAGCTCTAAGCCTTCTGGGTAGTTCTGTAAGTCATGGTCCCTTCTAGGGTCCTTTTTGTAAGGGTGCCGTACTATATTGGGAGCCTAAAGCGGGACCCTCATTTAAAGAACTACCCTTCTAACCCCTAAACCCTAAACCCCAAAACGCTAAAACCCTAAACCCTAAACCCTGAAACCCTAAACCCCTAAAGCCCTAAAGCCCTAACCCCTATAAACCCCTAAGCCCAAGCCAGGACCCGCCGACCGCAGAGCAACCTCTGCGGCAGATGGAGCACCTGGCCGTGGCCGTGGCGCAGATCCAGGACCCATGGGGGGCCGAGGGTTTAGGGGTTTCGGGGCTGAGGGTTTAGGTTTAGGGGTTAGGGTTTAGGGGTTATTTAGGGGTTAGGGTTTGGGGGTTTGGGTTTAGGGCTTAGGGTTTAGCGTCTAGGGGCTTAGGGTTTAGGGTTTTTAGGGCTTAGGGTTTAGGGCTCGCAGGAACTACGGGATTTGTGGTGTCTTCAGCCATGTTCTCACATAGGATGTTATGAGGTGTAGTGTTTCTTAGGGTTGAGGGGCCTAGCTTGAGTTACCATAAGAGGGATATGCAATCCAGCAAATAATGTGTTCTCCATGTTTTGGGCTATTTTAAGCTGACGCCTAAACCGTCTACACCCTAATAAGCCCATAAAACTAAGCACTACTTAAATTCGGCCCTGAATCCTAAACCCTGAGCCCTAAACCCATCTAGAACTACGTCTGCTTAAAAAGACCCGAGGAGCAGCTGCTGGAAATTCAGGATTTCCGGAAGGCGCTGACGAGGATCGAGCGCTCAGTGGACTCGATTCGAGGAGTCCTGGGAGGATTTTGCAGACTATTGCGGAATATTACAGTTCTTATCACGATGCAGTATACTAGGACTAGAACTGAAGGAGGAAGCCCAACCTAAGCTTAAGCTGTCAAAGCAAGCGGAGGTTGTTTTCATAGGAGTTGAATTCAGACGGAGCCCGCCAGCAGGGATCCCTGAACCCTGAACCCCAAACCACAAAACCTAAGCAATAAACCTAAACCCCTGAACCCATTTCAGGAAGCTTCAACCCTAAACTTTAAACCCAAACCCTCAATCCTAAAACCTGAAACCCTAAACTTTAAACCAAACCCTGAAGCCTAAAACCCTAAAGCCCTAAACATCAAAGCCCTAAGCCAGGACCCGCCCGAAACCTGAAGCCCCAAACCCCACAGGAGGAGATCCGGGCTCGATCTCGAGACCAGTTCGTCGGAAGGTCTCCGGCGCGAGCACCAGCGCCAAGGCCCCCCTAAACCCTAAACCCTAAGCCCTAAACCCTGAACCCCAAACCCTAAACCCTAAACCCTAAACCCTATACCCTGAACCCGCAACCCTAAACCCTAAACCCTAAGCCAAAGGACGTACGAGCTAAGCTCGGGGATCGCACGAGATCTCACCTCTCCTCGGGCTCGGGTACCATTACCACCTCCATGAACAAGATGATGCTCGGATTGGGGTTTAGGGCTTAGGGCTTAGTGTTTAGGGTTTAGGGCTTAGGGTTTAGGGTTTAGGGGTTAGGGATTCGGGGTGAGGGTTTAGGGTTTAGGGTTTCGGGTTAGAAACCCTAAACCCTACACCCTAAACATGGAGAAACTGTGAAGTTGCTGGGCTAGTGTTGTAGTATGTAAGCAGTAAGCAGGATGATGCTGGAGCATGGCTTGGCTTTAAGGTTCGAAGTTTAAGTTGCTGTCATAGATGATAAAGAGCTCTTGTGCACATGGTAGCACACCCGAAAGGCCCTCGGATAGGGATAAGTTCGAGTGCCAAGAGCTCCCCGCAATCAATCCTAGGATGGATGTTCTAGAAGAACAGACGGCACGGCAGCTGCAGCAAAAGCTGCGACGGAAGTCGGGGACCATCGGCGAAGAAGACGTTGAGCCACTGGAGCCAAATCAACAGCCTGAGGTCGCTCCTCGGCCTTTGCTGAGTCCCCAGATCCCTAAACCCTAAAGCCCTAAACCCTAAAGCCTTAAACCCTGAACCCGCAAACCCTAAAGCCCTAAACCTGCGCTTGTAGGGGGGTAGGGTTGAGGGTCGTCCCTGGCTTCTTGAGAAGAACTAAACTCTAAACCTTTATATAGCTTAAACCCTCAGCCCGAAACCCTAAGGATACGATCCGCCTCCATGAGCCGAGCTCCTTCGATTCATCTCCAGAGAGCGGCCGGCGGGCGAAAGCCGCATATCAAGCCTCCGCCTCCTTGACTTCCGTCTCTCCGAAGCAGACGCCTGAGCTCTTAAGCGGATGTAAGAGGAGGATCGTTGGGGACGAAGTAACTTTAGGGCCTAGCTCAGGGTTGTGAAGCTATAGTTATAGTTACCTACAACCCCAATTTGCGTACTTATACCTACTAAGTCCGAAGATCCTCCAAGTAGGAGGTTGTTACGGGGCTAGCGGGGAGCGGGGTTTAACAGCTTTTCCCAACAAGCTGAATCAGCCCGGGCAAGACTATGGGGTCAGAATCGGCACATTTCTGTCTCCGCCGGGCCAGGCTATGCACCCTAAACCCTAAACCCTAAACCCTGAACCCTAAACCCTAAACCCTAAACCCTAAACCCATGCACCCAGAAACACTCCAGTTTAATGAGAAGCTTTGGTCTCCTGAAGCTCCGAACTACCTACATGATGATCGTATCTTCTATTTATAGTATATTATGGTACATTATAGTATATTGTAATATTATAGTCCAAAGAGCGAGGATTCGAAACCGGACGCCGAAGCCCCAAAGCCCAAAGCCCAAGCCCGAGTTACCTAGTTGCCAGGAAACCCTGAGCCGTGGAGTTAGGGTCTGACCTCTGGACAACCCTACAAGCTATACCACGAGAATCGGATGAGTGCCCAATGCCATAAATGCCCGAACGTTCAGTTTGAACCCTCTACTGCAGAGAAGCCCTAAACCCTAAGCCCTAAACCCTAGGATGAATGCCGACGCCGAAACACCGTCCCGGCGCTCGAAGCTCGCGACCGTGGAGAGCAACGACGCCCGGTTTTGCCGTAGGAAGTCGCCGCTCGGACCTTTTTGGGAATCATGCGTTGCTGCCATTTAGGGTTTAGGGTTTAGGGGTTTAGGGATTAGGGTTTAGGCTTTAGGGGTTTAGGGCAGCTTATATAAGGTTTCTGGGTAAGGAGTTTAGATGCCTGAGGTGTGGCTGTTACGAAGTCTTTTATGAGTGCCTTGAGGTTCAGGTGATACTGTTGATGATATAAATCCTGCATTTCCTGAAGGACCTTAAACTATGGGAACTATGGTACATTCCTTGTTATGGCTAATGCAGGATTTATATCATCAACCGTACGATTCGGGGTTTAGGGCCAAGGGCTGAGAGGTCACTCGGGGAGTGGGGTTTGAGACGTAAATGTTCGGATCACCGGGTTTAGGGCCTACATATCTGTTTTTTTGGTTTTTCCGGGGAGTAGGGCTTGTGGGGTTTAGGGGTTT